AGAGAGAGAGAGAGAGAGAGAGAGAGAGAGAGAGAGAGAGAGATGTTAAGTGTCCATCTGCTATTTTTTTTATTTATAAATATATCATGGAAGAAATATATTTTTCATCCAATAAAAAGATCAAAGATCAAAAAAGAATAAAGATCAAAGATATATCATTAATCAATACATTACTTAATGCTCTTATTTGATTAAAATTAATAAAGGAGCACATTAATATTTTATTGACTAAGAAAATTTTATGAATATAAAACTCAATAAATAATGTATCTATGTTTATATGTGTGTGTAAATAAGTTACTTTAACATAAAGTAATAATTCCTAATAATCGTAAAAGTCTATGTGTACATATATCTTAGATATGTGTAAGTTTTCTATATTCGTATTTTGAAGCTTTGCGTAAGCGCGCGCACGAGTTTTGTGAATGTAATAATATAAATACACACTTTTGTGTGTATAAAATTTTGAGCACTAAACTTGAAAACATTATTTTCGCGAATAGTAATAAAATTACATGAAAAATTTTAAAATTAGTGAAATTAGTGAATCTTTGCTAATTAGCATCTTGCTACATATAGATACAAATATTTTCACGTATAATTGCACACATATTTCTTAGATTATAAAAATAATATAAATGTTACAAATATTATAGGTAGACAATTTTAATCGTAAATCATATATATAAGTAAACTTTTAATAAATTTTATATTTTTTTAATAAATATTAGAAAATAATATATGAAATTCAATATACCTAATGTGTCAATAGATTTATTATTAAAAAATTTCAGTGTGATTAACTCTGTTAAATATACACTTTTAGCAAGAAATAACAATTGTTTGTTATCACACATAATTTTAAGCAATAATTGAGATTATATAATTATCAAACATGAAACTATATACAAGACGTAACCATTTTCATTTTTTAATATATCTTTTATATATTTAGTATAATCCATTACTGTATTACAGAGTGTGAATCTATTTATTCAGGATTGGGTAGTAACTACTTAAAACGTTAAAAGTTAAAAAAAAGTTAATAACTTTTAACTTAACTTAGTTAATTTTAAATGCATTAAATTTTAACTTAACTAAGTTACCTTTAAACGTTAACTTTTTAACTTTTTTTTTAAGTTAACAAATTTTTTTATCTTTTTTAAATATCTTAGAAAAATAATAAGATATAATAAGACTAAGGCCGGAATCCATAGTCTGAACATAGTCTAAATCTCAAGGAATGTCTTAAGATACTAATATGGCTCTCTCATTGGTTCATGCACTAGTTTAATACCATCTCGAATCTTGAGTAACGTCTATGGATTCCGTCCTAAGAGCGTATGTATATTCTGTTCATATTTTAAGACCATCTTAAGTAATTTCTTAAGATGCTAATACAGCCCTCTAATTGGCTTATGCAGTTATGCCTTATATCATAAACCTTAGTCTGGATCTACAATAAGTGTTTTAAAAGACTTAAGTCATAAGAAATTGACTAATTACAGTCAAATATTCTTCTCGTATTCGAATTTAATTGATCAATTTCTTATGGCTTAAGACTTATTAAAAAGTAAACCTAATAATCTATATTGTAGTTATTTAATCTCATTTTAAGAAAAATTAGGACATTTTGATCTAAAAATAATTTTTTTTCAAAATTAACTTTTTTTCAACTTGAATTAATTTAATATTGACTTAACTTACGTTAAGTTAATGTTTTATTCCTTCAACTTTTAACTTAACTTTATTAATTTTGTAAAGCCATTAACTTTAACTTTATTCAGTTAAAAAAAACATTAATTTACCCAACCCTGATTATATTGTTTAAAATATATCTAAATATATTATATTGTTTAATATATATCAAAATTGATAACATTAGTTAACAAAACACACTTACTGATTGATGGTTGTGAACCAGAGAGGTTGGTTGACGAATGTTGCGAAGGAGATTCAAGATTAGATGATTGCAGTTCCACAGGTTCTTGCGATGGTGCATTAGGAGCAACAGGTGATTGAACAGTTTTAGTCTGAGAAGATACATGACTTGCAACTTGCTGCATTTCAATTTTCGATTGATCGGTTGATGTAGTGGCTTGTCCAGCATTTTGAGCAGAAGGCCGATACGTTTGTCTCTTGGCATAACCAGTTTCATTTTTAAAATTCATTACTGCATTACGTAAAAATCGATTTGGTATGAGAGTTTCCGGAGAGACATCTCTCTCATTGCAATCTGGGCATTCGTGTTCTTCGGATTCCAATAAAAGTGTACGAATACCTGTTATAAAAAGAAATTTGTGAATATATGTGTGTGTGTGTGTGTGTGTGTGTGTGTGTGTGTGTGTGTGTGTGTGTGTGTGTGTGTGTGTGTGTGTGTGTGTGTGTGTGTGTGTGTGTGTGTGTGTGTGTACACGTACATACTACGCACAATTAGGGGATCACCTTAAAATCTGTAAATTTTGTCGACATTTAAGAAACTGTATCTCTGCTTCCAGAGATCACAGGATAATTTTTGTGAGTGCGTTTTAAAGGATGAAACTTCTACTTTGAAATATTTAATATGATATTTGTCGTCTGAAAAATCTCATTACATACATTATAAAGTCTGAAACTTTCTTTTAAAGTGAGACCCCTTGACTATTACTCTAGCATATCTAGAAGCCAAGTTAACAGGTTCCAAAGGGAATCTACATTTTGCAAAATTTTGAATAACTGCTAGTATTTGTGCGTTCAATCAAAATCTTGCAAAATGTAGGATTTTCTTTAAAACCCTATAACTTAGCTTCTAAGCATGCTAGAGAATCGTCAAAGTCTCATTTTAAAGAAAAAGTTTCAGATTTAAAATGTATGTAACGAGATTTTTTAGCCTACTCTCGTGCTTTATCCGTAAAAAGTTGGAAAGTCCAAATTTTCACAATTTTAAAGTGATCCCCATTAGGGGAATAATTATATTGTGCCTAATGTGTGTGTGTGTGTGTGTGTGTGCGCGCGTGCGTGCGCGCGCGCACAATATCGTATTGTACAATAAATGTAATAAAGATGTAAAGATATTAATAATTAATCATATATCATAGTCGATAATTTAACGAGATTTACATTCATCACAAAAAGAATTTCCACAACATGGAATCATTACTGCATCCGTTAAAAGATCTTTGCAGATACTACATAACAAATCTTCTGGTATTTCTGGCTTCTCTGCTACAGGTTCTGGATCTTGCGAAAATGGTGGTCGTTCCTTCTTACCTTCCTTATAAGCTTGACTAAAGATCACAATAGAAAATAATATGATAATTATATATATATATATATATATCACATCTATAATTTAGTAATGTATATTATAAAATCACACACAATAGTTGTTTTCCATTTACACACAAGTGAAACTGAGCTGAGTATGAAATACTCAGATTAATGACATCACTACTTGCTTACTTTAGTAAAATTAATAAATAACAACACAGGTTCGTAAGCATAATTTTAAAGTGAGTCTACGAGGCTCAGTAAAGCACATGATCTCGATCTTGTCCAGTTTGTAGGTAAAAATCTCAGTTGAATCTCACTTGTCAAAATGTAAAAGGAACATGCATTCATGAGTGATAATTATCTGAGAATCGCTGTAAATGAAAAGCAACTATTGTGACTTACTGGTCAATAGCAGGAACAGCATAATGTCCTGTAGGTGTCATCATAGCACCAGGTACCAAAGGTCCTTCAACTGGTACCATAAAACTTCTAGGAATACCTGTGCTCTTCTTAATTTCAATCGGCTCTTGATTTGTACCTAGCGGACAGTTTTTGATCCAATGTCCAGGCTGATGACATTTATAACAACGGTAATTTGCAGGTACATCACCAGTCTGATTGGCTCCACGAATTTTCATATAACTAAAAAAGCATTTTAGATACATATAACTCAAACTTTCTTACTTTGATTATATATTACATATTTAGCTCATATATAAAAGTATCTTATTTATGTCAATAAATCAATATAAAATTGTATACTTTGACGGATCATAATCTTGAGTCGATTGTGTCATCATCGCACGGATCTTATCTTCCTCTGAGCCATCTAATCTCGTGAGATCTACAGCTCTACCTAAATTAGCTTCATCCTTTATGTTACTAAATGGAGGAGTTTCATTTCGATCCCAAGAACGTTTCTGTTGTACTGTCAATGGAACTCTGGCGACAATAAGACTAGTATTTTTAGCAATTAGTGCATTATCATCCGTATAATCTAAGGAGATTAATATGATTATTGAATATTATTAATAATAGTCAAATAGTTTCATAAGATGGAAAAAAGAATTTCATAAGATATTTGCCTTCCTTTGTTTGTGCATTTGTAATTTGCAGATCAAAATCAGTATTTTTGCCAATACGTTTTTGATGAAATATAGCCTTTTTTAAATCTGCCACTGAAATGTGCAATCCATCAAATGACACAGTGTCATAATCTAAAGTTGATTTAAATTTGTAGTGTACAGACATCGTTACTACTTATATAACCTAAAAATGCACATAAGAAATAGTCAATAAGGTACATTTTTTTATAGATAAAAAAGTTTATTTATTTTATAAAATCTAAACTATCTTATATAAAGAAATTTATTTCCTCAATAACAATAAAAGAGTAAAGAGAAAAAAGTATATGTAATAAGAATGATATAAATTACAGAGAAATTAATAAAGCAAAAAAATGACAGGACTCAGCGTTGTGCTATGGGTATATTGAGGGAGAATAAAAGATAAAATTCCATTCCGCGCCAAAAATACGCGCTATACATAAGTATGCGATACATGCATGTTTTATCGAGTTTACTCTATTACATTTTTAATGCAACATAAGCGTGTAGTCCTTATTTTTCTTAAAATTCTTATTATAAAATACATATATGAATGTACATATGTACCTCCTCCTCGCGAGAGCGGTGACGAGGTAAAAGCCGCATAGGGCGTAAAAGTTAAAACCGTGTCCTGACTCCTGAGAGGAAAACGTTGTGCAAAAAGACGGTTGCACGAGAATCTAGCATTAATAGGTTATAACTTGAAACGTACGTACATACATCAATGCACGATACTGTTGCAGGGTGTATACACATTAATTACACATACTTTTCAGTATTATCTCGGCGAATCATTAATATCATGCGAAGTGTGACGAGATACATATACATACATATCATACTTTCTGCATGACGTGCGTGATGCGACGTAGCGCGACTTCGTAATGTTGCATTGAGAGTTGTGCGACTAAAATACAAACTACAGCACATCGACAAGCGGCAACAGATAGATCGGCTGATCTGGCTGTGTGAGCTATTGTGAGCTATGTCCGGCTGATCACTTCGATAATATGCGGCCGTGCGACTACGAGGCGTATATGGACGTGGTGCGTCAGTACGTGAATTCAAATTTTAGGTGAATTTCAACGAAATTGGACAATTTCGCCTATTTCATGTGATTTTACACGAGTAGTGTAGAATGGCCAAATTCCGCCAGTTGCACCAGTGCCATATCTTCTGTAGAAACGGCTATCGGTACGGTATCGTGCTGCCGCTTCACATAATTTACTTTATTTACTGCAATGATAACCTACACTTGAGCAGCGATGACGCTCGAAACTGTCGAAGCGTATTCCTGCCTATTTTTTGTCTACTAGTTCTAAAATGTCAGAAATAAAACGAAGTTACATACAAAATACAATTGTGACGATCACAAATCAACTCCTTCGCTCCAATTCGTTCATTGACTGACCATCACTGACGCCAGGGTTGCCAGGTTTTCACAGATACAAACTAGAGTCCCTATATCAGAGTCTGGCCATTTAGGGTGTCGTCCCATGGCACGGAAAACGGAATCGGAAAAGTGAAGTGGTAGGGGCAACCAATCAGCATCGTTCCGTTCCGATTTTAAGTAGCCTGGCTCCCGATGGGGCATAATTTTCGGAAACGGAAATTTTTCGTACTCTGTCGATCGCTAGCGATCACAAGAAATAAGATTAAAGCGGGGAGCACAGACTTTTGCATAACGCATAAACCATATACATAAAGAATTTGATTGGTCCATTGACTCATGCATAAGAAAATGGACCAATGAAATTCCTTATGCACATGCTTTATGCGTTATGCAAAAGTCTGCGCTCCCCGCTTAAAGCCCTAAACACAATGCGTGGGAATAGCGATAGCGATAAGTTTCAACCTATCAAAAATGCGTATTCCGGTGTGTTCGATTTCTGATAAGTTGAAACTTATCGCTATCGCTATTCCCTCGCATTGTGTTTAGGGCTTAAAGCCCATGACACATAGAAAAACGTAAGGCCGTAAACGTAATCAGTAAGCGAATTGACCAATCACAGTTGAGAATGTAAGCGACGACTGCTTACGTTCTCAACTGTGATTGGTCAATTCGCTTACTGATTACGTTTACGACCTTATGTTTTTCTATGTGCCATGGGCTTAAAGGTTGATTTATACTGGCCGTAAACTGTTAACTTATACCGTAATCTGTAAAAATTGACCAATCACAGTCGAATGAGAGGGGAATAATCGATTATAATTGATCAATTTTTACAGATTACAGCATAAGTTAACAGATTACGGCCAGTATAATCCTACCTTAAGGGTGCAAACCCATGCAGCGGAATAGCGTAACGCGGAACGAGAGCAGAACCAATAACGAGCATTCCGTGTTTCTAGAGAATCTCGTGATTGGTTCTAGTGACATTGGTTCTAGTGACAAGTTCACATTTGTATCTCGTGATTGGTTCTACTGACATTGGTTCTAGTGACAAGTTCACATTTGTATGCATTTAAATCTATTAATTTCATTAAAAAGTGCATAGTAACGTCAACTTGTCACTAGTCCGTGCCGCTTTTCCGCGCAGTTTTGGCTCCTTGTAATAATAGGAGAAAATTAGCGCGGATTACCGCGCGCGGTTCCTAGTTACTTTACCACGTTCCGCGCTGCATGTAAAATCACCCTACGAATGCTTTGAAACGTTTCTTGATTGGTCAGTTTGTATAACTCTTTCTTTTGATTGGTCAATCAAACGCTTCAAAGCAATTCGTAGTGGCAACTCGACCGCAGCCTGTTATCTGCAGACCTCAGTGGCCTAGTTCCAACCCATTCCAACCGCAGTTGGTTGCCTGATCAACGAAACAAGAGAAGAAGAAGTGGTCCGTGGTCCATGATTCATTGTTATATATTGCTGTGCATTACTCGATGTAATAAGAGAACTTCAACGATATTAACTTAAACGTATTGCATTGCTACAAATCTTAATATAGTCAAAATGGTTTTAAGTTCAACCACGAAACAGAGGATAGCCATCGTTCTGAATGTGAGCAAATTCGTATTTCAATGGGGATTTATTCCTGCCGTACTCTTTTTAGGTTAGTTTTTTAACTGCATTGGTTATATTCCACTTTGACATTCTTAATCCTCGCGAGCATAATTTCATCTTTACTTATTGAATGATAAACAAGGATGAGATAATGCCCGTGAATACTGTGAACGTTAAGTAAAATGTACCTGAGATACATTATTTTACTTGCCGTAATACTACAAAGTTTCAAAATTTTGTTTTTAGGATTCAGCAAGGGTGCTGACCCAGGCATGCCTGAATTAACCCTTATGAAGTAAGAGAATTTAACTATACATATGTATTTTTAATTTCAGAACGATAGATTTTGAGTGCTTTTCATTTAATGCCATAAGTCGACACAAACATCATTCTATTTTTCTTGAAATTTAGAGATAAGAAAAAATAGGATGATATTTGTGCCGACTTGTGCCACCAAATGGAGAGTACCATTTGTGACAATTTTTTTTTTACAGCTTATTATGGCAGTAAGTCTTTCATGGATTCATTCCAAAAGAATTATGAATACCTTTGATGTTACATGAATACATTTTATTTAAGGTTACAATGTTTCCAATTATCAGAGTAATAGACTGTATCACATTAAATAAATGTTATATTGTTACCTGAAGTTCAGTAACAGTTTTTTTTTTTATGATTATGTATGAGAATCATTCTTATACAATGAGGAGTAAGGGTGATTTTATGGTCAATAACCCTAAATATACAATAGAGTTTTTTTAAGCCTTAAGCCATAAGAAATGGATGAATCATAATCGGTTATTTTCCTCGAATTCGACTGTAATTGGTTAATTTCTTATGGCTTAAGGCTTAAAACACCTATTGTAGATCCAGAGTAATACTTGTTAATATCTTGAATCTTAATGATATATTTAATCAGTATGTATCAATATTTTTAATATTTCTACAATTTTATACAATCAATATTATTGACAATATATTTTTAGTTTTACGAATATTATTCTCTGACACGCTGCAACATGGATCCTAATAATGCGATCCTGATGCTTGTGACTCAAAGAACAGATCATCATCGATAATCTAAGTCAATCCACAAATATTAACCACTCATGGCACTCATAATTAGTAACATTGACAGTATTTTTTGACTGCGTATTTACCTTAAAAATGAGTTATATTTTTTAGCCATGGTCCGATTCATGCTAAGTGTTTACATGTCATATGGGGTGCATTTCACATTTGATGCGCATAATGCAACATTTATCCTTGTTGCTAATCAGATGAAGATGTGTCTAACCTCAAAATTTTTTACGAAATTTGAAAAGTTGTACGACGGACCACCTATATCAATCTATACTTTTAACATTTATGGGTCTACGCATGGTGGAAAATATTTCCACCATGGGTCTACGTACACAATAAGAGAGATCATGGTGTAAGAAGAATGATGAAACATTGCGCATAGTAATGGTGGAGCCAATAAAATTTATAGCGTTTTCTCTTGGCTGCACCAATGTAGGGTGATTGCACCAGTTCATCTTTTTTCCTTTTCCCTTCTCCTGGAAAGAAAAGATAGAAAGATGAACTAGTGCAAAAGTTCAGCTGAGTGTTGCACTGGTGCAACCAAGAGAAAATGCTATTTTAGGTCCATATACATTTGGACCCGATTCTTATTGGTCGACTACTGCGCATTCATGATGTTGTTTCACCTTTCTTCTTACACCATGGGAGAGATATTAGTATTGTTCGTTTTGTCTCTCGGGAGCTGCTCCGAGTCGCTCTGAATAAACCCAGCGTACTCGGATGTGATCCATTTAATACTATAAATGCTTCGTTGATCAATCAGAAGAAAAAATTTTACGAATTGATCAATCAAAGTATGTTTTGAGGTATCTACAACATTAAATAGACTGCATCCAAGTATGCTAGGTTCGTTCGGAGTGACTCTGAACAGCTCTCGAGAGACAAAACGAACGATACTACTAGGAACAGATATTAAATAGGGTGCAAACCCATGCAGCGGAATAGCGTAAGGCCGGAATCAGACTACGCATTGAACATTGAGATTAAAGATTGAAAGATTGAAATTTGGCCAATCAAAATAATAGGAGCAAAAATTCTTTTATTCTCATTGGTCAAATTTCAATTTTTAATCTTCAATCTCAATTTTCAATGCGTAGTCTGATTCCGGCCTAACGCGGAACGAGAGTAGAACCAATCACGAGATTATCTAGAAACACGGAATGCTCGTTATTGGTTCTGCTCTCGTTACGCTATTCCGCTGCATGGGTTTGCACCCGAAGAATTTTAACCTGTCAGAAAGCGCACATTCCACAGTACTACACAGTTCTGATAGTTTAAAATTCTTATATTTGGTGCATCCAGAAGTACGACCGCTCATTGAGCGCTCGGTGAGCTCTTGTACCTGTTTGGTTTATATATTTAGATGTAATAGAATATGCCAATCAGATAAAAAAGCCCATTGAGCGCTTAGTGAGCGATCATGCTTCTGGATGCACCTATTTAATATCTGTTCCTAATATTTCTCCTATTGTGCGCAGACCCCCCTTAAAGCGGGGAGCACAGACTTTTGCATAACGCATAAACCTTATACATAAAGAATTTGATTGGTCCATTGACTCATGCATAAGAAAATGGACCAATGAAATTCCTTATGCACATGTTTTATGTGTTATGCAAAAGTGTGTGTTGGGGCTCTTGTCTGTTTTCTGTGGCTAAAGTAGTGTACACTTTTAGGCCTATAGCGGGGAGCACAGACTTTTGCATAACGCATAAAGCATGTGCATAAGGAATTTCATTGGTCCATTTTTTTATGCATGAGTCAATGAACCAATCAAATTCTTTATGTATATGGTTTATGCATTATGCAAAAGTCTGTGTTCCCCGCTTAACGCACATGGAATGCATAACTGTGCATAAGCATAACATAAGGCCGCTGGACCAATGAGCATCCAGCATACAGACGCCATATTGATTAACATAAGATGCTCATTGGTCCAGCGGCCTTATGTTATGCTTATGCACAGTTAGGGTGCGTTCTTTTTCGGATTTGGCAGCCGCTGCGCATCGGATTTGCCGAACGGGCATTTTTTATACGATCACGCAGATACGTAGCCGGCTGCGCAGCTAATTCTAATCGTCTGCGTATCTACTGCGTATCTATTATCAAAAGAACGAAAATCTGCGCTGCAATCGACTGTGCAGTTGCGCTAAAAGAACGAATCATTGCAAGAACTGCTGTATCCGATGCCTAAAAGAACGCACCCTTATGCATTTCATGTGCGATAGGCCTTAGAACTTAAGGACCATTTCATACTGACGCTTGACGCTCATTTTTAGCGTCAAAATAGATCATTTGATTAAAATTGGCACTTGCTATTCGTCAATTCTTATCACGTGATCTGTTTTGACGCTGAAAATGAGCGTCAAACGTCAGCATGAAAAGGTACCTTTAAAGTGAGATAAATATATGGTTGATATTTGTAGAAAGCGAGAAAGAGAGTTCTAGTTCAGTCCAGTGCAGCAACAGAAAACAGACCACGTGATTGTGATGCACCTTATATTGACCAATCAACGAAAGACATTCAATATTTTGAAAAACCGTTTAAAGATGTATGTAGATTACATGGTGTCGTGCCGATACTCTTGTCTGCTCTTGGCTGTGTATTGACCTTTTCTACGTCATCCTAGAAGTGAGTAAATGGTTGAAAGTGTACAATATTGAAAAGGGGAAGAAAGAGATTTCTTCGTTTCATTATATATTTTGCTGCACAAAGGTAAGTGCACTCAAGGAAATTGTTTCTTTTTTGTGACTGACATGAATCTTTCAAACTAATACGGAATATGTGATGTTTTAATATAATGCATTGTATTTTTATTTTTTAATTTATTGTTATTTGTTAAATTGTCGCACATAATTGTTAAAGTTTAAAATCTAAAGAACAATGGTATACATACATTTGTATTTGTGATATTTATATTGTATGTGTATTGTATATTTATTTCTAAGTATTTTCTAACTTTTAATATAATTTTTTTAATACATGTATATAAAGTATTCATAAAAGGAGACATATTTGCTTCAATATCCAATTTATAGGATTAGAAGTATCAGCTGTTTTTAGAATGGACCAAGAAAATGATAAGACTCATTATCCATCATCTACACATACATTGAAAGCAATTAACAGTTTGAAGCACTTACATATTTCTAAAACAATTGCGACAGATATTATTCAATTGAGAATTGAAGAAAGTACTATCAATGACGAGGAAAATACTATGAAGTTTGCCAATAAAGTTTGCTCAGCAACTAATAAAAATGAAAATGAATGTAAAGAGATTGCAAAGAACTCTATAGAATTAATGCCACCACCTAAATTGCCAGTAGCATGTAAATCAATAGACTCTACCCAACAAATGTCTAATAGTGAAAACAGTGAAAAAGTAAGAGATAACAAAAGTGATGAAACAGTCCAAAAAGGTTCAGATACAGAAACGAGTAGTTCAAGTAAGGAAGGTGAAAGTAAGAAAAAGTGGGTACTAACAGATTTTGATATTGGCCGGCCTCTAGGTAAAGGAAAATTTGGTAATGTATATTTGGCCAGAGAAAGACGATCAAAATTTATAATAGCCATGAAGGTGCTTTATAGATCACAAATAGAAGATGCACAAATCTTACATCAAGTACGAAGAGAAATAGAAATTCAAACCCATTTGAGGTATCAACTTTCGTATTTGTTTTCATCTATTATATATAATAAAAATTGTACGTGATACATATTATGAAATTAAAAAATTATATTTAATATAAATTATGTTTTTTATAGACATCCAAATATTCTAAGAATGTATGGATATTTCTATGATCCTAAGCGAATTTATTTAATATTAGAGTATGCACCAAAAGGAGAACTTTATAAAGAACTGCATAACCAGCCTAATAAACGTTTTGATGAAGTAAGGTAATGAAAGAGAAATTATATTCTCTGTAGACATAATTGAAATTAATTATATATAGTATGAAAGCCAACGTGTTTTTCACACAAACAATATTTGTCCTACTTTTTCTCACAAATCATTCTCAGTAATATGTTGTTAACAATTCCAAAGTATTAATTATATTTTTTTACAAAGTGTCAAAAATTGATATGAATATATATTGATTACATTTGAAAAATGCATACATATCTATTAGATGATATAACATTTATTCATTATAATCAGAATCTCTTCTCGTTAGCTTTGATACAGCTGCCTTTCATACATTTTTATTAGATATTCTTGCTTTAGTCTCAAAAAGCCTTTGTTTTCCAATAATTGTGTTGTACTCTTAAGCATATTATAATATCTATACTTGTAGAACAGCCACTTATGTAGCTCAGTTAGCAGATGCATTAAAATATTGCCACAGCAAGAGTGTTATTCATCGTGATATTAAACCTGAGAATTTACTTCTTGGAATTAATGGAGAATTAAAAATAGCTGACTTTGGATGGTCAGTACACGCTCCTTCATCTCGAAGGGACACTCTATGTGGAACTTTAGATTACTTGCCACCTGAAATGGTGTCTGGAAAAACACATAATCACACAGTTGACTTTTGGGGTGTTGGAGTATTATGTTACGAATGTTTAGTTGGAAAGCCTCCTTTTTATGCAACAACCAACGATGAAACTTATGTAAATATAAGAAGATTACGGTATAATTTTCCGAATTTCGTTAGTGAAGATGCAAAAGACTTAATTTCAAAGGTATGGTTTTAAATAAGTTTGTGATTAGTGCACCACGTTTTCATTTTAAAATTAATTTTTAATTATATTTTAGTTGATAGTTATTGATCCTGAAAAAAGATTGGATATGGACGGTGTTCTTGCACATCCTTGGATTGAGAATAATCGCAAAGTGAATACGGCGTGAAGTCTTTAAAATCATAAATAATGTAATTATAAAAATAATCACCTTGACTGTATGTTGCAATTGTGTATGTATGTCCACAATATAAATAAATTGTAATTTTAAACTCAATATCACCAGGGAAATGATAATACATATTATTATTGATGTTTAAGTACTTATTGTGTGCGCGTGTATGATTATACATATATAAATGTTTTATGCGATGATGGTTTGGGAACATGTACTAATAAATAACTTTTTAAACCTTAGCCTGTCTTACATAAGTAGAGATTTATTTACACAATACAAGATGTATTGCACGATGTTGCCATTTTTTTTATACTTTTATACTATTAATAGAAAAATCACGCCTGACTTGAAGTTGTTAATTGAAGTACCTGGATGTTGGATTTTTCAGATACGTATCTGTATGTGTTTATATAGTTTATGTAGAGATCTATTGATTAATGTCGGTTGCAAATGATCTATTAAAAAGCCGTTCTGTTGGCGAGAATACTCTCAGGGTTACTGGCTTACTATTGTTTTTTGTGAGATTGTATAAAATCCGATGTTGATGGAATTTAAACTTGGATTTTTTAGCCACAAAGAATAGACGTACATCTTTCTACACAATCGTTATATTAAAAGTATTTTAAATATAACATGATGAGAGTAAACTCAAGATTAATTCTATTTTAAAACATATTTATTTGTACACATAATTAATCTATACATACAATTAAAAAAAATTGAATTATAAATGCTACATATGTTGTAAAATAAACTTTTATCGACTAATAGAAATCTTATCTCTTTTGACATGCTGTAACTAAAGCTTTTATATCTATAGGGAAAAAAAAATATATATATATATATAATGTAGAATATTATAACCGACTAAATGTCTTGAAACACAATAAATCATCAGTTAATTATTAATATAGCCAATGTTAAAACTGATTTTTATGAAACATAAATGCACAGAAACTAAACTATACCATTAAAGAAGCCTGTTTTATCTTTTGTATAAAAAAATTTAATTTTGGTAGTGGAAGAGTTCTTTAGCGATTCTTTTTTAATTGTACTTTAAGTTTCCATTGGCTCCATAACCACATCAACAATTGGTGCATCCAATGGCGTAACTTCTACTGGTGTATCCATTGGTGTAATTTCAGGGTTTTTCCTGGCCAAATATAATTTACTCAACTTTTCATAATGTTTAATATCCTGCAAAATTTGTTTCTTTTATTATACATGTACTAATTGTGTTCAACATAGATTTTCAAATAAACGAATACGTGCCTTTTCACGTACGGACGGTTGCACTTTATCGAATGCCTGAAAAATATGTCGCATCGAAATTTCTGGTTGTCCATAACCAGCTATTATTTCTTTCAATGCTTCCATACCAGCTTCTCTTATCAAAGCTGCCAAATCCGCACCAGTGTAACCATCACACCTATTATCGTATGCCACTTGATTTAAATCGACGTCTGAGGCAAGTTTTGGTCTTGTTGCATTCTACAAGAGTTATTATTAATATGTATTATGATGTTAAAAGAAACTAAAATTTTTTCAGAATTAAATCCTCTTTTTCCTGTACGTTGTTTCGCGCGCGAGTGCAAATACCTTCGTTACAGCACGTAAAATATCCACTCTATCTGAAGCATTTGGGAGACCAACGTATACAATTTTATCCAATCTTCCTGGTCTCAAAACAGCTGGATCTATAATATCGGGTCGATTACTAGCCGCCATAAGAAATACCCCTTGCCGACCCTCCACACCGTCCATTTCTGTAAGCATTTGATTAACAACGCGTGCTGATGCAGAATTATCGCCTTCTGTTCTCTTAGGACACAACGCATCTATTTCATCGAAAAATATGACACACGGCGATGAATTTCTCGCTCTTAAGAAACATTGACGAACTGCTTTCTCACTTTCGCCAACGTACTAAAAATATACAAAATCATTTGACTCTCATATTTTCACGTATAAATGTATAATACTATAATGTTGAAACTTGCCATATTTAAAAGTTCTGGTCCTTTAACAGAAATAAAGTTAATTCCAGCTTCGTTAGCGACAGCTTTGGCTAGTAATGTTTTTCCACATCCTGGTGGACCACATAACAATACTCCGCTTGCAGCTGTTAAACCTAATGTATTAAAGTGTTCAGAGTGTTTAACAGGAGCCTGCAATAAATTTATATACATGTGTCGCAAATGTCATAAAATAAGTAACCTAGTAGCAGAAATCATGTGTGGCTCCATATGAAAACAATTGACTTGTTAATAGATTCCTAGTTAAACCTGACCTTTACTCGTGTACATCTTGATTTCATACAAAATCTATTTATTTAAGACTAATAAATAGCACAGTAGCTACTCTTCCAAGAAATAGGAAGTATTACGAGGATAAAGAAGTATCGATACTCACGAGAATAGCCATCTGCAATTCTTGTCGTATATTTCGCAGTGAACCGACATCGTCCCACGTTACATCGGGAACCGTTGCAAATCCTTCTCTTTTCGCCGATGGTTGAACAATGCGTAGAGCTGTCTCAAAATCACTGTGCTCAATGCACAAAGTTGATAAACGTTTTGGGGAAAGTGGAGGTTCAGTATGTAACCAGGTTAATAAAGTTGACAAGTCTGCTGAATGTTCCTGAATTATATCCATTTTGGCAATTTCTGGAATTGAATTTTTGGGTAACTCTTGTGGAAATGTAAGATCATTCTCAATTGTAGTAGGAATTGTAGTAGTGGGAGATCTTGTTGTGACACTAGTATCAATTAGATTTTCCGAATTTTCGGGAATTTCAGTTTCTTTATTCGGTTGTTTCTCGATTTCGGTTACTTCGGATGACTTTTCCTCCTGTTTCGATTTATTTAAATCCTCAAATACTCTAAAAACAATTATATATGTAAATACACGAACACATACAAATAAATATGTATAAAAACTTTACCTATCTACAGCAACCATGGCAGCTTCCCTAATTAAAGCAACTAAATCTGCACCTACAAAACCTGGAGTAAGGGAAGCTATTGTCGACAAACTAACATTAGGAGCTAATACAACTTTTTCAGTGTGCACTGCTAAGATTCTAGCCCTTGCTTCTCTATCTGGTATTCCAAGGCACACTTCACGATCAAAACGTCCCGCTCTTCTTAAAGCAGGATCTAATGAATCAGGTCGATTTGTTGCACCAATTACCAGTACTCTGTCTCCATTTTGGTTAAGATTCAATTCTAACAAGACAATAGAGAGAAGGAAAATATATAGCTCATGACTTAGAGTAACATGGTAAAATATGAAACAATAATGGAAACATTAGTATTTTACCATCTAAACTTGACAATAATTGCGCAACAATTCTTCTTTCCATTTCTCTTTGAGCTGTAGCTCTATGTGGAGTGACAGCATCTATCTCATCCAAAAAAACGACACATGGTGCAAGAATTAGAGCTTGTTCAAACAATTCCCTAATACGAGCTTCACTTTCGCCAGATACTCCAGTCACAAGTTCAGGCCCTGCTACTTTGATTAGAGGTATATTTAATTCCTAACATAAGAGATGTAAATATTAGAGAGAAAATTAAATCTATATAACTTTTCTACACACACACACACATACTATTTCACAATTATATAAAAAATGTATTTTTTATTCTACTTATTATATATACAGGATGGTCCAGACTACCCAAAGAAGTCGGCATGTAAGTATTCTTCATGAAAAACTGAGTTGAAAGTGTTGAGGTGTCAACAGTTTTTGAATGGTTGAACTTTTAAAACCGTATAACTACTACGTGTATGTAAAGTTCGCGCCATTAAGTGCGGCGCAATAAAGCGACGCGGGCGCTTTGATGGATATTGCCAAACATCACGATGCTGAACAAATATTAAAAATATTCTGTGAAATCTTTGTTGTGACAGCTATTGCTGTATTCTTAAATTGAGCCCAATTGAATTGATGAGGAGTAATTTCAATTGCAGATTCGATAAAACGTCATTAAAAGGTGTATTGTAAAAATACACATTTTAAGTAATAAATAATTATCATTTATTACTCAATTTCAAAATATAGCAATAGATGCTAACAGAGATTTCACGGAACATTTTCAATACTCATTCTGCATCATGACGTTTAGCGATATCCATCTGAGCACCTGTACAGCCGACCGCTTTGTTGCGCCACACCTAACGGCGCAAATTTTACACGCTGTTGTTGGACGGTTTTAAAAGCTTACCATTCAAAAACTATTAACATTTAATATTTTTTACTTAGTTTTTTTATGATAAATACACACGTCATGCCAGCTTCTCTAGTTCATCCTATATATATATATATAATCTGTGAATATAATGTATATAGATACAGTCGAACTTCCATACACTTAACCCACATTTTTGTTTTAATCTCCTATATAGTAATTGAACACATATTAGTCGTGATAGAGCCGCTCATATTAGTTTACTTTTACTGAGATCAATCGGTCCCTATAAGTTACCTTCACGGAGGTTCGACTGTAATATTTGTAACTATTGTACTATATTTTCCAATTAAATATTCTCTTACTCCTGCAACTGCATGTGCTAATAACGTTTTTCCACATCCAGGTGGTCCATGAAGTAAAAATCCTCTTGGTGGAGATATACCGAGCTGTTTGAAGATTTCAGGATGTTTTATATGAGCCAATAATTTACAGACAGTTTTCAAAACTTTGTCGCTGCCTCCTACATCAGAGAATGAAATTTTTGATTTCATAATAGGTACAATTCTCGCTTTCTTGATTGAAAATTGTCCATTGCCACTTTCCTTATCTCTTTGTCGTTTTCTTGTAGATTCCAAGGACTGTTTCACGACTTGGTTCATAAGCTAAAATGACAGAAACAGATAACAAGTGTATCCTCCAATTTGAATCTTGTTCAAATTTAACATAAAATCATCAAGATAAATTGCATGGAAATGAGTACTAAGTTTGATTTCACAGATGCTTCCAGTGTTACGGCAGATATTTCTGATTTTGCTGTTTCTTGCTTTGAGGTAGTTGTTTCTGATTCTACAGTTTCTGGTCCTATAATTTCTGGATTTACAGTAACCATCAAGCCCGAAGATTCTTCAGCTGCCATGTTCAGGTGTCCAGGTTCAGGTGTCTTTATATCTTTTTCAGTCTTGGAGTCATCTTTAGATACATCATCGTCGCTACTAATATCTATCAATTCCTTATCACTCGAGTTTCCATTCTGTTTATATTGTGGTTTTTTATACATACGTAATAACATGTCACTTATTGAAGCACGCTGTGAATCTGACTAAAATAATGTAACTTGATTAAAAAAGCTATTGCATCAAGAATAAAATAATAATAATAACCACAATAATACAAGATTAAGGTCCAAGGTACCTCAACATCGACATCCTCAAAATCATCATCGTCATACACCGAGCATTCACGCGTCGAAGGCTTGTTTGAAAAAATCTTAGTAAGCTCGTCGTAAGCTTCGCGTACCATTCTACGAAACGGACCGCGTTTCTTACCACGATAATCTCTGTATCGCCTTTGCAATGCGTCTGCCATATCATTTACATCGATATATACTTTATTTTCATTATCGTGCATGTACTGCAAAACATATAAATGTAACATGAAAACAAGTAAAGTTTGCTAAACGATCATACTCACGCATGATATTAACAATAATTCTTGCGTACTTTGCTCTGATTGCGTACGCGTACGCACCGTGGATCCCGCGGATTAATTAAATAGATACGTCAAAGAGAAAAACAATCGAAAAGAATAATCTCGATATGTGAATGCTTTTTTACATTACCATTTGCACGCGACCGATCAACAATTGATCTCGAAAAAGTCTTTGATCCATCCTGTGCTTATTATCCATGTGTTTTGATCTGTAATCTCCACTCGAACCTTGCAGCGGAATAATATCGATCGATGAGTTCAGTTTGCCTATTTTATGCATATTTCCAGACAAGGATGATCCAGATGAGAATGCGACCAAATGCGATCGAGCGTGACTACTGTGTACCAGAAGAAATCAGGATCAGGAATAATATCTCACGTCACGACTCGACACTCGATTATACTTGACACTCAACATGAGTCTGAATCGGCGTCAGAAATGAGACTCGGCTCGGCTATGATACAACTTTTTCAACATGCACGACACTACGCACTACGGCCAACCGTACGACGCACGGAACTCGCGGACGCGGCATCGATCCACGACCATCCACGAAGTTCTGGATGAATCTTGATGGATCTGCATCAATCTCAGCCAAGATTGGTCAATACGTACGCAAAATACTAGTATTCATAAGGCCTGTTCTTTTTCTCTACACTGTGCCCACAGTGCAATAAGTTGAAGTGAAACAGATATACGTTTGTTCCACTTCAACTTATTGCACTATCTGGGTGATTAAGGGCGGGTTCACACCTTGACGGAAAAACGGAAAGCGGAAGAGCAGTTACCCGATCAGAACTCGCGCTGGTAGTAAATAGTACAAAACTAACAGAAAGTCGACTACCTGATTGACTACTGCTTTTCCGCTTTCTGTTTTTCCGTCAAGGTGTGAACCCGCCCACATGCAGCGCGGAACGCGGTAGGCGATAAAGTAACCAGGAATCGTGGCGGCAAGCCGCGGTACGCGGTGAAGTAACTATAAGGTAATTAACCTGAAAAGTTAACGCAAATTTCTTCCAAGTGGCCAATAAAGCGCATGGTAATTATTAGATTTAATCGATTTAATAATGTTATCATGGCCATCAACATCATATCTGCAGTCTCCATGACAAAAACAGTCTTTAATTAATGCGAAAATCGTTTTTTTTTCCTACCAAACTCCGAACTCCGAAATTATTTCTCTTTACTTGGCAGTATACACAGTATATACCTGTGTTAATTTCTAGTTATGCACCCAGTGGGCCTATTCTGTAAGTTATAACGACAATTCGGTATCGTTATACTGTCGTTGCGCAGGTTTTATACCATGTAAAATATCTGCGCAACAACATCCCTAGCTAGTAAAATTGTCGTTAAAGAGTTACAGAATAGGCCTACAGCCGACCGAGCCGATGCCGACCACAGGAAGTAAGATATAAGGAGACTCCACTCCGTAAAATAAAAGTGGTAGGTTTCGAGTTCAGCTTCCGATTCTGATGAGTGCGAGTAAGAGAAATGATCATTTCTCTTACTCGCACTCATTATGCGCAGCACTACTAAATTCACGAGCGCTGCGAGTGTCGAGAATCGGAAACGGAACTCGAAACCTAAAATGGGTTCATGTCTTGTAGACTGGCGAGACCGAGTGGAGTCTCCTTATATCTTCCTTCATGGCTGCGGCCTTTAGAGTCGGGAGCCTGTAGTGTGATTACGGCTTTAGAAAAAACGGAAGTATTCGCATGATACTGCTAAATCATTTGAAACACGTTTATATATTCTTTTTAATTTTTATATATCTGGTTTGCTTGTTTACACACTTGTATTTTCGATAAAATTTGGTAAGTTGATCGAACTAAAGCATTTTAAAATTATTTTTTAATTTATCTTGCCAAAAAAACTGAATTTTTAATTTATGCCTTAAAGATCAACGATTAAATTGATCTCATACGGTTTAAATAATCGTTTATTCTAGATTATATATTTTTTCATTACATTATGGCGCTAGATTATACATAGAAAAGGAAAATATTAAGGTTTTTACAAGAGACTTCTACTATATATATATAATAAATTCTACGAGTTTGTGTGTGTGTGTACGCGCGCGCGTGCATACGTGCGACGTCCATTGTGTCACAAAATTCAATTTTCGTTATTAGTATAATCATTACAATTGATCGCTGATAAATGGAGATATTTTCTAAACAAATCAAATTAATTATTATGTACAATCTAGTGTTACAATAAATTGATCTTCTAATCTATGTTTTTAAAGATGCGCATGTATATCTCGATAAGATGTTATTAAGACTTTACTTACTTTTTTTTATTATTACCACGAATGTTAACGTGTATCGCTTTATCATGTAGAAAAACATGTATGTATTACTTCCTATATTTGTTTTAACAAGATTAGAATTAAAGTAGGCACACAATTATTTTCAGGCCAAACTTAAAAACGCTACAATGATGTGTATCAGATGGGATTAATAAAAATTTAAAAGATAAATTAATCAAGTGCCAGTTATATCTTGCGACACAATGATCAAACGCAATTCACGAATGTAAATTACACATAACAATGCCAATCACATGACTGTTTTGCAAAAATACAAGTTTTAAGTTAAATTATATTGCAAGCTACGTCAAAATGACGTATACACTATACCGGTTGTTCATTTTCCGGTAAGTCTAAAATCTCTCCAACAAATTCGGCCACATTTGTATCTCTTTGGGCATATTCTCTGATAAAGTCAAGTTCTAACAATTGACTGTAATTTGGGCGGGCAGTGTAGTTTTTCATTAGACTGAAAAAAAAAAACAGTGATGATTGTGTAAAGGAATCAATTGAATCAGAGGTGTAAGAATCTTAATACACATGTTGTCACTTACCACTTATTAATAAATTCCTCAAATGAAGGAGAAAACTTTCCCACAGGTAATTTCGGGGCTTCGTCCTTGACTACCTGTTTTAGTTGCTCGAACGGCGTACCCCACGACTCATATGGGAACTTACCAGTTGCTAGTTCAACGAGGGAAATACCTAATGACCAGACATCGGATCTGATATCATATTGCGATGGGTTACCCGATGGGTCTATCCTTTCTGGCTACAAAAAAAGATAATGGTAGAGAATGTATTGAATGGGCAACCGACAAAATTTTCAATTACAAAATTCTATAATTACATACAGCCATATACGGTTTGCATCCAGCATCAATGGTCTTTGCAACTGAATCCACAAGATATCCTGATATACCAAAGTCACAAATTTTTACTTCGCCTTTTCGATTAATTAAGATATTACTAGGTTTTACATCTCTATGAATCACTCGTAATTGTGAATAAAGGTAATGTAGCGCGCTCACTACCTGCAAAATTAATAACGTAAACGATTCTTATGTTAAAAAGAATTTAAGATCAATTAAAATTTAGATTTTAAGTCTAATCAAAGAAAAGAAGATGCAGGTTTGAAAACAAGGGAAAAGAAATATTTGCGCAATTATTTAACATTGGTGTTATTGACAGTTTAAAGAGTTGGATGGGTCGATGGTTGTGTGTAAGCGTGCGAATATGCGTGCTTTTGGTGTGTATACATATATATATATATATATATGTACGTACTGCAAAAGCCACTTTTCCTAGGATATCTTCAGGAATGGCACGAGCATGTTTATACACTTTCGTATAAAATTTATCAAGACTCATATCCATCACTTCCATACATATCCATACATCTCCTTCTCGAAATAAGGCTCCATAGAATTGTACTGTGTAGGGACACGCAGAGCTACGCATGGAAATATCTAAATCCATGAGTAGCCGCTTTTGCTCCTGTGTATTAACAGTAGCAGCTATTCTCTATAAATATCAGTATACATATATAAATTTTTTTTTCAGTTGTTTTATTATACACTATAATGTAAGAAAGTTTATAGCTTATTTTGATAATACCTTAACAGCCATAATTGTACCACTTTGTTTGTGTCTCATTTTATCAACAATTCCATATGCTCCACGACCAAGTACACAAAGTGTTTCTAAATCATCAGCTTCTACGACAAACATTTTTTCATCTATAGTAATGGTAGTTCGTTTGTCTAAATTTCTTGGTGGAGTCCTAAAATAAATCATCCATAAAATGTATCTAAAAATAAATTCTATCTTTATACATACACCACACATACACATTGTACAAGCATCTTTCTGTCATAATTAAATAAAGTAATATTTATAGATACTTTGTATTTAGTGATACAAGTTCTATCTTGGACAATCATTATTCTATCTTTCTAGATAGTGAATAAGATAACAAAAGATGTTTCTGTTTCTTACTGAATACCAATGATGATTGAACACGGTATCAATATGTATTAAATTATTGTTATATGTATTAAATTAGTGAATTCTAAAAGAGCAAACACACAAATACAGAATGACACTTAACCAAATGAAAAATATTTCACAGAAGTAAAAATTTACACTATTTCTTTGAATCTTACTTAAAGATATTTCTATGTAAGTTTATATATATATATATATATACACACACATTAAATAAAACATAAGAACGCAAAAGATTACATATAAGTATGACAACATTAATCACAGCACTTGCATTGATGCTTTACATACACTGGTGTAGGCGCTTCGTCGGAGACCTGCAGTTTTAGATTACGTTTTCCACGACGTAGAGCCATGATATAGAGTCCTATCAACAAAAGGTTAAGGTCGCCGTCAGCGGAAATTCGGCAGTATTCCAGAGGAAGTTAATAGGTATTCATGGCTAGCATGGCTAGTGATCACTAACAATATCACGGGACGCAATGCGTATGTTATCTGGAAAACCAAGAAAGAATCATACGAGAATTTGTATGATTTGTTCAAAAGAAAAAGATAGGAACGGACGGATGTTTAATTTTAGGTTATTAATTCCGTAAAAGAAATTGTGAGAAATATAAGTAAGTCGCGTCGTTGGCACGGGCGGCGGGCGCACGCACGCCCGCTGCGCAGATCCACATGTGTACGTTGCAATTATCGCGAAGCAATCATACTTGGCTTATCAATGGGCGAGTTCAAGACGGCAAAGCGGCTAGGTACGCTTGCCGAGCGATTGAATATAATTAGTTATTACTTATAGATCCAACCAATCATACTCGATCGCTCGGCAAGCGTACCTAGCCTTTTTGTCGTCTTGAATTCGCCCAATAGGTGCATCCAGAAGCACGATCGCTCACTAAGCGCTCAATGAGCTTTTTTATCTGATTGGCATATTCCATTAGATCGAAAAATATAAACCAAACAGGTACAAGAGCTCACTGAGCGCTCAATGAGCGCCCTGGATGCACCCACCCAATCAGCATACCATATTTAAAAAATATTTTTTAAATATTTATTTAATGTAAAATAGTTGTAAAAACATTGAATAAACATTTAAAAA